ACAATGAAATAATAAATTTTTTCGTTTATTCATTTATCCTTTTCATTGTAAGTAGGGTAGTGGCTGTTGAAACCTGAATGGAGTAATAGTGCCAACATTTGTTACTTTGTCTTGTGAAGACCAGAGCAGGAGCAATGTGGATGCTAAGCCAAAGTATTCCATGTTGGTTGATGTTTGGGTTAAACATGTGACAAAGTAGGTAGGACATATATTTTGAGGAAGAATTGAGACCTCTCTCTACAGAGGGGAAGATAAGTTTCTCAGATTACTCCCTCTAGTCTAGGCCACCAGAGTAGACAACCACAGTAGAAGACATTGTGTCTTAGACAATGTTACATGGCATCTACAATACAAACCCCTTTGTTAAACCATTGCTCTTTCCTGGTTAGAGAGCTTTGTGCCTTTCCATCCCCAACCATTGTTTACCCCCCTGCTATATACCTTATAGAGCTGTGTCCTTACTCACACTAGTGCCCCTTTTGGTGCACAGCAATTTATTTGTACATCTTCACTTGCCTATTCTAAGCTGCCATAAGCTAGTTAAGTTGTACATAAGAGCTCTATTCTATCATATTCACTGCACAGCACACAGAAGCAATTCTCAAATAGCTGTTACAGCCTGTTAACTGTCCAATAATCTTTGCCCTATGTACGGATAATGGGATGACATTCGCAAGGATGGAAAACATCAAAGCTCGATATTGCGACTGCAAAGTATTTCTTTGATGAAAAGGTGAAAATGATACACGTAAAAGGTCGAAATATTATTGACCCATATTCTTTTTTTTTTTTTTAAATGTGCTATACACAAGATTACTTTTTCTTTTGTAGAGAAAGAATATGTGAACATTAACCCTTTGCATGCAAAAATCTGAAAAGCAGCGTATGTAATAAAAAAAAACACATCTTATCAGCAGGAAAAAACTAATTTTGTAACCGGGATTTTTCCATACTATAAAAATCTGTTATATGTGGCTAAGGATGGTGGGTATCTTAGTAAAACATCTAAAATTCTAAATAATTCTTCTGTGAATGTGTGAGTCTTTCATTGCAATTAAAGGGACATGCAAGGCACCATAACCACTTCATCTCTGCTTCTGCTTCTGCTTCTCAGGCTAATATTTCTGCATACTACATCAAGACACCCATTGGTGGCAGGGATTGGTGGATTTAAACAGTGGGATGGTGCCAGGGAACTCCAGACACAATCACCACTTCAATTAATTGAAATAGTTATGGTGGGTATAGTGTGTCTTTAAAGGTGTGTAAGATACTTGTATTATTGTATCATTACTTTATTGGAGAGGGCAGAATGAGTAAAGCTCTAGGGCAGGGATAGGCAACCTTCCGCACTCCAGATATTGTGGACTACATCCCCCATAATGCTCTTACACCCATAATGCTGGTAAAGCATATATATATATACACACAATTTTTTTTTCTACAGTTAAAGGACCACTCTAGGCACCCAGACCACTTCAGCTTAATGAAGTGGTCTGGGTGCCAGGTCCTTCTAGGGTTAACCCATTTTTTCATAATTATAGCAGTTTCAGAGAAACTGCTATAATTATGAATGGGTTAAGCCTTCCCCCTAATCCTCTAGTGGCTGTCTCATTGACAGCCACTAGAGGCGCTTGCGTGCTTCTCACTGTGAAAATCACAGTGAGAGCACGCCAGCGTCCATAGGAAAGCATTGCAAATGCTTTCCTATGAGACCGGCTGAATGCGCGCGCAGCTCTTGCCGCGCGTGCGCATTCAGCCGGCGGGGCGTAACGGAGGCGGAGAGGAGGCAGAGAGCTCTCCGCCCAGCGCTGGAAAAAGGTAAGTTATTACCCCTTTCCCCCTTCCAGAGCAGGGCGGGAGGGGGTCCCTGAGGGTGGGGGCACCCTCAGGGCACTATAGTGCCAGGAAAACGAGTATGTTTTCCTGGCACTATAGTGGTCCTTTAAGCATTGTCTTTTTGTAAAATATATATTTTTTAAATCCTACTTTGCATTTATCTTACAGCCTTGAGAGCCCTTCTTGAGCCAGAATAACAATTCTTGCAAAATCCAACCTCATCGTTCCATTAAGAGACGTACTAATCACTATTCCACTGACAATTATAACGGAACAAATTCTGGCAGTTGGTGAAATTTCCCATTTGATTGGTAACGCTCGCCGTGCAGTAATCTGTAAACTCTAATCTCCTTCCTTTCAGATTGGTTTAACATGTGTCTGTGCATGAAGAGGCAAAGTGGGCAAATGGTTCGTACAGTGGAATGAATACTAATGTACAATGTTAGATCCTTGAAAATCGACTCAACTCACGATTTTGTCTCAAACAGAAAATAACACTTTGTTTACCAGAACACTTACCATGTAAATCGTAGGTATTCTGAGCTTCACCTGCCTGAGATGGAGTTTGCAGGGAAAATACAAAGAGTAGGATTCTGGATTTGCAGACAACACGAAGGGATCATAACATAGGAAGAATGTACAATCCCAGATTTTAACAGTTTCGTTGATACCAGAGTATGTAGTAGAATCTGTAAACATTTCAGTGATAGCAACTTGCAATTTGTTGGAGCAAATTATAATAACCCGCTCGGAGCCAGATTAAGTGCCCATTACGCCTGGTGCTGACAATTATGGTGCGCCTAATTACAGAATCTTATCGACAGAAAACGCTAAAACAGTCATACCTCCCAAGCGTCACATATCGAATTCACAGGATGAAGAAGGCTTTAAGAAAACACATACCCGATGCTAATCTCTCAATTTCATCTTGCAGGTAAATCCATACCCCATAACAACAGTGTCCAGTGAAGCAAGATGTCGGTGGGCAGGATAAAAGGGCGGACCACTGACGCAAATCATGTCACCAGAACTGTTGAAAGGGGCGAACATACCCAAAAAGGAGGCGTGTCTGCCCAAAGAATTTGAAGGACAGCCTGGCATGAATGCATGTCAGGCTCCCTGCCAGTCATTCAGGCTGTCCAAATAAGGGCATACTGTGCAGACAGAACCCTGAGCTTGGCATAAATGTGTCTAATGATGAGCTTATTCCACACTTTCCCCTGTCCCCTAGGACTCGCTGGTCCACTCCTCTCTTAACCTTCTTACTAGCAGACAGAAGCTCCTTGAATACAGTCTGGAACAGAGAAAAGGTGTCTGTAGGCAGTGTAAAAGAAAGGGAACATGCCACAATGTTAGAGAGACTGAAGCAGCAATAGCATTCGCATAGTGCACAAAGTCAGCTTTACCTTAACTAATTTCATTGTCAGCCAGTCCACACAAGTTTTGTTCTCCAATGCCCCTCTTAAGTTTCCATACTTAAGCAAGAGCATGTTAAGAGTAGTTTTTAAAAAATGCTTTTTTTTAAATTTATTTTTTAAATCAATCGACCAATGTCATGGGAATGAGCCTGGAGCTGCAGCTCGATTAGCCCCTATGTTAATCTGGTATGTATATAGTACAAAAGAACAAACGCTGTGTAGAATATAACTCACAAGACTGATGAATGGTTAGCACCCAAGGGTGTCTCCCCTGATGTAGATGGAGGGCATTAACACTGCTCTTGCTCCAAGGAAGGCGAAATACGACTCATGATGTGGAGTAAAAAAAGGTTTCTTCTTTATTTAAAAGAATTAAAAGTATGAAGGTTCAAATAAGCTGTTTTAGTACCAGGTCCTACGCGTTTCGTCCGATGGACTTCCTCAGGGTCATCCTGGTATGCAGATACGTAACAGCAATAAAACAAATACAAATGAACAATAAAATCCCTCCCTCCTGAGTCCTTTCTTTTATACTGAAGGTTGTTACTCCTCATTGGTGCTTCAGTGGGCATCTGTTCTTTGATGCAGCTGTCTGTAGTTGAATTTCCAGGATTTTGCCGATTTTGTGATGCCACTTCTGGTTTTTCGGCAGTTGCGTGACGTCACTTCTGGTTTCAGCGTTTCGTTCCTATGATCCAAGTGGGCGTATGCGTTTCACCACAGGGAAACATGCGTTCCCCCTGTAGCTTCCTGTGATGGATAGATTAATGATGGGAGCCTTTGAGGCTCAAAAAGTAAACAAAATCAAAGTTGTAGGCAAATGGAAAACGGAACATTTATTTTCAAAGTATAAGATTATTTTGCAAACCAAAAAAAACACACAGAGATCTTACTCATTAGGGTCTAAATGAATACGTGGAAGGTTGAGTGTTTTTTCCCATATGCCTAATGGATCAATGCTTATGATCACTAGGCATGTAAATAATTAATGGCAATAATGCTATATGTTGAGTGCCAGTCACTTCCATGTGAACAGATTATGAGACCTCTAGATTTTTATGCCTGCTTTCAGTACATACATCTTTAGTTTGAAATATGGGAATGCCACTTCCCCACATCTGGATCAATGGAAAAAGAAAAAAATTAGGTTTTAAATAAATAAAAAAAATTAATGTGAAATTAGATATAGATACAGCTTGTAAAGTTTTGTTTTTTTATATTCTTTATTTTTGAAGTGCAGTGGAGACAAACATAACATAGCAGTGACTTAGAGTTATATCGCATTATGAATGGTTACAAGCTTCAAGTATAAGCACAATATGTCAGGAGTAACTGCACACATTTTTGGTTAAGGATGCAAAACAAGAATTAGTCGCAGTGCAAGCATATACAATCATGCTTTCTATACCATGTCAATGTGGTCCAGCGTTGAACATCATTGAGCTAGGGTCTGAGACATGGCTTGCTAGGAACTTGCATTGTTACAGGCTATAATAGTAGGCTAGTGAAACCGTAGTTAAATACAGGCTATTGTTGCCACTGGGAGACCGGGCCCCGCTGCAGAGATTATTGGGGCACTTTCACAGATTATTACAAGGTAAAACATGTTATAGTGAAGTGGTTAACAGAGGCCAAGCAGAGGCTTACCAACTGAGCTGAATTATACTGATGCCACCACATTCTGCAAATATCTAGCTTTTGCAGCCCCACCATTTTATAATACGAACGACATCAGGCCACAGTTCATTTCTGCCATATGGCTGGTGAGAGAAAAGTGTCTAAGGGCATAGCTGCTGCTTCGCCATGGGAGAGTAGGTGGTCTCTTCGGGGGTCCCTGCGGCCAGGCTCTGGGTCGGTTGGTGACAGTTTGTCATGGGCGCTGGGTCTTGCTTGTGTAGTCTCCAAAGCATGTGGGTTTAGTTCAGTGGGACCCTTAGGCGTAACGTCCGTGGTTCTTTTACGGCAGGCTGGGGAAGGTTGACTGGCTTTACGGCAGAGGTGTGCGGCACACGCGGTTGGACGGTCGGGTTTCTTGAAGTGTCGCCTGTCTTTTCCGCGAGGTGAGTTTAGGGTCTTTACTGTCAAACTTGGACGCGAAGGAAGGATACTCCCTTTTCTCCATCCCCAGCTCATATGGCATCCACCATTTTGGACGAGGTCACCGGTCAAGGTGGTCTCGTTGCTGGGCCTTAATTGCATGGCAGCGGTCCGGGTCCCAGGGCAAGGACCAGCTTGTAAAGTTTTTAAACGTTTATTTTTTACATTTTTAATAGTAAATTATTTATCTGATATGAATACTCCTGATCTGTGCATTTTCTTTCTAGCTGGGCAACACTGGGCAATATCCTGGTTTATGGGCCATCCTTAGTCCATATTTTCACAGCTAATGAAGTTCTTTGCAGGCCTCTATTTGTTCTATCTTCCTAGCTGAATACTATCTTTCAAATGATTCCACAATGCCGTACTCTTTGATGAGCCAATCTACAGCTCCATACCTCTCGCTAATAAACTATACTTTTGGCTAACAGAGGCTTTCAAGCAACGCGCCAAGCTCCAGAACTAATTCAATCTGCTGTAGTAGTTTATAGAATAAGTATTCAAACCTACCTGGGTCTCACCTGTCAACCATAACCAGTGGCCAGGATTCATTGTCCAATTAAAAAAAAAAATATTGCCAGTTAATGTGGTTTGTATTCATTGTCTCTTTGTCAAAATATGGTTAATTATTGTGATGAGTAGTGGATGCATTGAATGGTTACCCAATAAAGGTGGTATGATTGAATACAGCATGGTAAGGGTTAAGTTGTCTGCCTTTAACTAGGACCTATGAGGTGAACTGTGTCTAAGAAGCAATTAGTTAAATCGTGTTGGTGTCTTGAAAACACCCTGCAATTGTACAGCAATTGATATAAAAACTCATATTTTAAATTCAATGAAAGGTCATTCATTTAAAGTTTGGAAGTTATTTCAGATGATGTTGGTTTTGGGGCACTATGTATGAAATCTATATCATTATTGGTCTTAAGTTAATTGTCTGGAATTGCCGAGATGATCTGACCTGGTTACACAGTGATCAGAATTTTGGAATACATTAATTGCCCCTCATAAAATTCCTGCGCCCGTGGCCTATCATCAGAGAGCCAGTCTAGAACCTCGGATAAACAGCATGGTATATAATTTCTTTTAAAAAACAAATTTTGTAATCCATTTTGAGATTTAGATCAAATTTAGTGTATTTCAACTGGGACAGAAATATTTTCTTTTCTGGTTTAGTGAGTTTAGCTTGGTTGGTTTGTTGGTGTACAAATTTGTTTGCAATATATTTTTTATTTATATGCACTTTGACTATTTTTTTATTCATAATTCTGTCCTTGTCTAGAACGAGAATCACATTACTAAAGAAACTTATATCGTAGTACAGTGGTTCCATAGACATTTTTGCAAAATTAATTGTATTTTTTAGGTTTTGAATCTAATTTGATTGGGATAACTCAGGTTGCCCCATTTATAAATATTCTTGGTGGTGGGCGTTTTATAATAAAATAGTAGAATGTGGGGGGTGTTAAGAGGGCTTTTTAAAAATCATTATTTTGGGTTTAATATGGACAAACAGGGATTTTTAACCCTTTTACCCACTGAATCAAGTCACATGCCCAGCTGGGAACGGTGGTGTTTGTGACATCATCTCGTGCCCATCAATTCTTCCATTTTTGGTAAGAGCTCTTGCAAGGAGCTTCAATGAGCTCACTGTATAAAGCCCTTCCACACAGGACTGCCTCATTGACTTAGAGCATCAGTTGAGCACACTCAGTCAATGAGCTTTCTATTTAATTATAGCCAGGCTTGACTCAAAGGCATAAACTTCGGCCAGCAGGGCAGGCAGTTACAGGCACTGGAAAGGGCCCAAGTTGTAAAACTATTCTTAAATGGTTTCACTACTTACTATGGAAATATGACAGGGGCCACATGGCACCATAACTACTACAGTGATTAAGGTGCTTAAATTATTGCTTTAAAGATTGATAGATGATAGCCCCTTTCTTCATATTGCAAAGCTCTGTATAAATGCCAAAAATAAGAATAGCATTAATAATTAATAATAGATAGATAGATAGATAGATAGAACAGATTAAGCTTTGAAAACTCTAAATAATCCATGTCTGTGATTGACAAAAACGAAAAATATAATTTCTAAATACCTGAGATCAGGCTTTAATTTAGAATTTCTCAGCAGGAATTATAAATATTGTTTTTAATAAATGCTCTCTCTCTCTCTGTGGAAGTTAACGAGCGGTTTATTTAGTCTGTGATTGCTACGGAAAGTGGCACAAATGTGGAGACTTTAATGAACGCAGACAATTATTCAGCAATTAGAGGAGAGAAAACTCTCCTCTTAATTTAACAGCACAAAATATTACAGGCTTCCCTTTCTAAGTATGTGAAACAACTCTGAAATACATTTGGGAAAGAAGAGAGATGGATGTATTTGATACTGAATCCCAATAAACACAAAAGGATAACAGAACCGAGTCCAGAGTATATCTGTTGTTTTCCTCCATGACGCACAACCATGCTAGTGGACATGTCATGTTTGGAGGTCCAGACCGCAAAAGTGACCTGTCTGCTTTGCCTGGAAAAAACCTCTGTGATTATGGCCTACAACTTTTAGTTTTATTGATTAATCCCCAACAATTTCCAGTTAAACAGTTACCGATATTGTTTTATCAAATGCTTGACACCAGTATTGGCTGAACATTGTAGAGTTCTATGTATGTTTTTATCATGTTCTGTTGTATCTGCTGTGGGTAGCTTTAAAAACACTCACATTAACATCGCCATCACTCAACACTCACATTACCATCGTCATCCAAGGTTTTTTTATGCAGATAACAAAACTAAATCCTGCCGCATATGTTGATGGTTGTGTACATTCCAAAGATATTTTAATGGTATTTGCGAACACATTTCACAAGTAAATGTATTCATTAATGCCAAGAAGTCTGCAGCCTCTTCACAAGTACCGTATAAGTGTAAATATTTTAATTAAAGTATTTGTTTACAGGATATAATTATAGCAAAACAGATGCATATGATTTGTAAAATTTTATTCCCACAAGTTTTTATACGGGGGATTGGCCCTGTTGGTTCATAGATGAATAATAATTCAATCTTTACAAGTATTTAGAGTGCAAATCGAGGATAGCATCTTAGTTTGAGGTGTTATTCCTGACGAGAGACCTTTAAATATGGTAGATAATAGAATTCTTTTTTATCTGTGAAATCCTTTAACACCTTAAGGAATTACAAGTATACACTATAAGAGAGCACACAGGTAATATAAAATATATAAGAGCAATTAAATAACATCTAGATCCCAGGTTCCTAAAATAACCAGTACAAAAATTCTAAAGTATCAGCGCTCAGGCAATCTCCCCTTTCTAAAATAGAGTGGGGAAAGTGCATAAAAAATAAAATGACTTATTAGTGAGAGTACCAAAGTAAAAATTATTATAAAAAGGATATATTCCAAAAATCGCAGGGGGTATAGTATGGATAACACAAATTTCTGTGGTGATATTAGGTGGTTCCAATCTCCAGTACAGAGGAAATTATATAGCCACCTTATAGACAGGTAAGAAACAAATATAGTGTAACACTGTTCATTGAAAAAAAAAAAATCCTATACAATCCCTTTGTGGAACTCTTACACAAAATAGTGGTGGTGCTTATTTCTAAGTACCAGAAACAGGCATAAGGTGCAGTACAAATAGAGAGTGGTGACAGAGTTACCACTCCGCTGGTCTGATGCTGCGGGTTGCTTCCGTGCACTGAAGCCGACCCAGACCTCACACACCTCAGGAGGACACTGTCCTACAGTCTCATTGTGCTAACTTCCTCGCCTTCAAAGACTGAAAATGCAGACAAAGCAACGATCCACGCGTTTCGCCTGTGAGACCAGCCTCTCTCAAGATAGGATGCCACGCCAAAAATCTCACAAATATATACCCTTTCTGCATGAATCAAATTATCGGTGCTCTTAAAGGCAACCTTGCTTATAAAAGTCCAGACAAATAAAAGACCATTAAATCAAAGATTGCAGTGTCATATCCACACAGGAAAAAATATTAAAAACTCATATAATTACATGGTGCTTGCTAAAATATTCATGCAAATGTAAACTGCATATTGTATCAACATTGTTACAAAAGGCATATAATCTTTTCTTATTACTGTCGTAACAGAAGGACGTGATACAGTACTATTACATACACATATTCCTCATGTGGTATAATACTTATATTCACCTCTCACATCTGTAATAATTTAAATAGTTTAAAAAAAGTTATTTATAATGTCAATTCATGGAATCAGTGCAAATACAAAGATAAAAAGAGTTACGTAATAGACATCATTAAAATAAAAACAAACTCGTTTTCCTGGCACTATAGGGTCTTTAGGTCCCCCCCCCCACCCTCAGGGTCCCACTCCCGCTGTGTTGAAGGGGGCTGAAGGGGTTAAACACTTACTTTTCTACAGCACTGGGCGAGGTCCTTTAATATAAAATAAAATAGACAATTTTTAAAATAAAAATCTTCAAATGGAATAAAAATAAGAATTAATCAATAAAAATTTAGAAAATTAGTTCACGTTTTCCATAGAATATATAGAATAAAAAGCATTAAGAGAGACAGGAAGAAATTATATTATATTAAAAAGGAACAAATCCACACTGTTGATAGCATACTGTGGGATTCTATTTGTAGTGGTTATAGTGTATTTGCTAATGCTAGCTCTGCGTTAAGTATGAAGGGAGCTAGAGTTTTCAAATTATAAATCCAAAAGGTTGCCCTGTATACTAGACATTTAGCCAGCTCCCCCTCCTCCCCTCTCCATGGTACCTTAACCTGTTGGATACCACAGAAGGTAAGGGAGGTAGGATTGCCTTTGTGGTGTGTGTTAAAATGGTGGGACAGACTATGATTTTCAAATTGTCTTTTTATGTTGTCGACGTGTTCACCTAACCTAGTTTTCAACATTCGTTTTGTCTGTCCCACGTATTGCAAACCACAAGAGCAACTTAAATAAGTAGATGATCTGTTTTGAATTACAGGCGATACATTCGTTTATTTCAAACCTCTTTTTGCTAACAGCAGATTGAAAGTCTGTGGTTTTACCAAAAGGTGGGCCTACTACTTTGC